TCCTTGTTATCAATGTTGTGCGGTGCTTTAGAATTATTATTACAATTGGAATTATTACAGTTGGTCCTACCATGGGAAGGTTTTTTTGTCCAAGTCTTTAAGGTTACATGCATTGGGCATAATTCAATGTGCCGATTGATGGAGTTATCGTCTGTGAACCAGGCCTCTTTCAAGAGACGTCCCCATTTGGTATTGTCTTATTTTATCCTCCTGGTGTTCTCACCTTTTTTGGCCTACCTTTTAACTATGAATATACCCAGGAGACACCTCTTTATTTTTAACATTGTTTCCTAAATCCTTCCTTCTTTATCTGGAAGAAAAGTGCTGTAGGTAGTCTTTTAAAATTAAGGCATGCCAAGAAGATTCATTTATTGATCTTGGGGTTCTTATGTCAGAGGACACATTGCCAGGGAGATGGATGTGTATTATATGTATTATATAGCCATGCAAACATATATTTTTGTAAGAAAAAAGCATACCACACAAGAGTCATCTTACTATTCTACAGGTATATCTTTTCCTTGTGGCATCACAATCTGTTTCATTCACAAAAATCCCATGTGACTTACTAAAATATGTTTCTGATTTAAATCTGAAGTTAAACTCCTAAATAAGATCTTTGCCTAAATTCACATGCATGTATATGCTGTTCATAATGCTGAGAAAAATCTAGACTTAGAGATTAGAGACATTAAAATCAACTGAAACCAAATAAGGTAAAATTCTGTTCCACTGATTTTCGTGCTTTGATTCATTTTATTCAACTTATGTGTTTGAAATGTAATTTAAACAAACAAATTGAAATTTGAAGCAAATTGAAATTTGCTTAGACTGTAATATATGTTAATGGCATTAACTGATAAATCCTCTTCTGTCTTTAGTGAATAAAAATAATAGTTTCTGATGATATCGGAGCCCTTGGAATCCAAAACCTTCATAACCAGTAATTCTTAACATATTAGTGATGTGTCATTAATTGCCAAATCTCCAGACCCTGGCAGATATATCTTGCTGAGTTTGCCTGTAAGAACTCAGGCAATACTCACATATATTACTAGTTTGGAATATTAAATTTGCTGGCACATTTAGTTTTCTGGTCTTCCAACTAGAATTGTTTGTATTTTTCAGGTGAGATTTAAACTGCTTTGTTTATTCCATATAGAAATTGTGTGGCTGAGTTAGACTTCCGAGGTGTTGATGTTTCTAATTATAGCTTCCGAAGCTGAATTTAGCATCTATATCATTCACATAACTATTGAGGGCCTTGTGTTTTAGAAAAGCTTAATAAAAGCTTTTGTTTTAATAAAACAATTTTTCTTGTTTTTCCCCACTTCAAATGCAAAAACATGAAATATTATAACTCAAAATCTATTTCATTGGTATATGAGAGGAAAAAAGTTTGTATTTGATAGGATGAGGCTCTTTTATGAGATCTCAATCTAAAGAAAGAACACTAATTGTTAACAGTGGAAAAAACAATTTTTAAATATAAGACGTATTTTCCTAAGTACTGAAAGGTGAAGTAAGTTGTCTGTTTTTTATATTTTATATCAAAATTGGATATTAGAGCTTTCAGCAGATGGCAATACCTAGTTGACATAGTAAATTTAATATACAGTGATTACCAATTTTCAATATTACGCTTACAGAAGTCTGTAAGAATTGGCCAATATTATTGTTCCAAGCATGTAGGAACACAGAATAAGATATACTGGCTTGGCAAGGATTCTTGGTGAGTTTGTAATTCAATACAATTTTGAATGAGTAATTTTTTCCAGAAAAAATACCCAATATATATAACTTGAAGTGAAACAATCAGTTCTGTTACATAACTTTACTGACTGTCTAGATCTGGCCCTTATTCCTCATGTTTGAGAATTGTATAGCTCATCTATAAATAAAATAATAATGACATCATGGCTCAAATATTTTAAACAATTAAGGATCTAGAACATCATTGTTAAAGCCTTATAATCTAACCAGTAACAATAGAGAGTTATGTAATCTCTGAATATTGTTTAATAACAGCTTTATTGTCACTTCTTGAACTAACTGCAATTTTCTTGTGTTTCAAGGGCAGATACACAACACTATGCTGTAATCTAGATTAGAGTTTAGCATTTAAGAAACTGTTAGAGACAGGCCATTCCAGTCCAGAAAGTGTTGCAACCAGACATACTTGGTCAGCTACAGGCCTAGCACCTATGTGGGGCATGAGTAAAGAAGATGATCTTTTAAACTTCAATAAAAATATAACCTTGATGAACAGAGGAAAGCTCCATTACTAGAACAACAAGGAGATAAACATTACTTAAGCCCAGATGATGGGAAAGGGTTAAGAAAACTCTCAGACAGATGTCACATTAATAGGAAAAAGGGAGGAGGAGAAGCACATTCAGATTTGCCAGTTTCTGTCTTGATACCAATCTTAAGATACCAGTCTTAATTTTAAAAAAATAGCTTTAGGTACACATGNCTCCATTACTAGAACAACAAGGAGATAAACATTACTTAAGCCCAGATGATGGGAAAGGGTTAAGAAAACTCTCAGACAGATGTCACATTAATAGGAAAAAGGGAGGAGGAGAAGCACATTCAGATTTGCCAGTTTCTGTCTTGATACCAATCTTAAGATACCAGTCTTAATTTTAAAAAAATAGCTTTAGGTACACATGGTATCTGTTTCTTAGCCTGGACTACCTTATACTGCTGACAGTGATCAACAGGAGCACAAGTATGCCATTCTCTTTATTTTTTCAAAGAAAGTATAGCTCCATCAGCCGATTTATCCTGCAGGGTTTGCACATCAAACCTACAGTTAGTGTTGTTTGGTACATGAAGTTAAAAACATCCTTTTTTTAAAAAAATCAAACTTTCATGGAACCCTTACCAACCTGTCACAGAATCCTAGGGTTTTCTTGGAAGAATCCCAGTGAGAAAAGATGATCTAGAACAGGGGTGTCAAACTTGCAATGTCACGTGACATGTTGCGACATATCGCGACTTTTTCCCCATTGCCGGCAGTGGGGAGGGTGCGGCCCGCGGGCTGGCCGTTTGACACCCCTCATCTAGAATCAGAGACATACTCATTTCCTGAACCATGAATTTTCAGAGGAATTCAATTTCAGTTTATAACCTTTATGCAGCACTATGTATCTAGGTACTAATCCCACTACCACGTGTATTGTGAAATCATGTGGCACCTAAATCTGATAAATTAAATCATCTGAGTGATGACAGAGGGAGAGAGCTGCTTTGTAACAGCATGTTTGTGACACTCAGTTTCAACACCCTAATAATTTCTACCAGTGGCTTCTTATAAATATTGTTTTACTACCTTATCCAATCAGCTAAAAAGTAGGCTTCAGGGCCTTTAGACTTCAAGAGACCTGGGACCAGACTGTTAGTGATTTGCTCAGAAACAGGCAGGAGAAAGATCTCCAATACTGAACTCACTCTTATAATATCTAATATATTTTAACATAATTAGTTTCACAGCTTTCAGTTAATAGTATTCATTGTTTTAAAAACTGAACCACACCTTGGAAATCTCAAAAAGCCCAGGCACCTTCTAAGGGTTTCAGTTTGCTAGATTACTGGTGCTAGACTGTTATTATCACTTTATTAGAGAAATTCATCCAGGAAAAATAGGTGGCATTTTTAATCTGCTCTTTTGAGTGAAATTTCTTTTTCTTTCATTTGTCCTGTTTGTTGCTTGCTTATATTACTGTAGATAACTTGTACCTTTGGTTCTCCTCTTTTCCATTAGCTAATTACTTGTTATTATCAGCTATTATTGGTTTAAGTCTAGATACCCACTTTTTGGTGGTGATGATAGTGGTGGGGGTTTTTTATATTGGCAATACTCTTCCCTGAACTTAAATCAATCTGTTTGCCAAAAGCAATTGAGACTGCACTGATTGCAGGATTAAACATTAGCACTAACAGCGTATTGGTCATCACCCGGCATTAGCAACATTGTAGAGAGAACAAGATCTGCCTATATTATAATACTTTGTTACTATACTCTGTTATACATTTTTTTTCCTCTGAAGAATCTTTCATAGATTGGCATTGTGCAGCACGTGGTTCTGAAATAGGCAAAGACAGTTTAGATTCAGCATAGCCACCTTTTCTACATGTCTTTTTCTACAGTGTGATGCTAGCCATGCAGGCTCAGGAAAATATTCATTTGAGTTCAGGGGGTGCTACAGAAGTAGTGGCAGAGTGCAACTGCATGTTGCCATCTCCTTACTGCCTCTATAACACCTCTGAAATCAAGTGTTTGCCTGAACCTGCACATCTGTGGAGATGGCAGCTGTTGAATAGACTATTAGGATAGCACGCCATAGCCAACTCACCACTGCTAACTCGGCGCAGAACAACTCGCCCCAGGACAAGAATTACACTAATATCAAAGAAATGGTGGAATAGAATCATTAAAGAAAGAATGCAAAAGAAGGGACAAAATGAAACATGAATGACAAAAAATAAAATATTTTTAAATTATTTTAAATAATTAAATTGAATTGTTGAATTGGCCGTGGCATGTTGGCCCATTCTGGTCTAGGAAGACGGCTTCAATTAATGTACCAACTGCAAACTTTCCCAGAACAGAAGGCCATTCACACTTTGGTTCATTTGCTCTGTTGCAACACCATGTACATGGGGCTGTTGTTAAAGACCATTAGGAAGTTATAATTGGTCCAGAATAGAGCAGTTCAAATAGTTATGGATGCATCTGTACATTCTGAACTGCACTGGTTACCAATTGGCTTTTGTGTGCAATTTGAGATGATGGTTGTCATCCCTTAAAGCTCTGTATGATTCTGTATAACAGATAAATGTCTTAAGGACTGTCTCCCAGTTGTATTTGTCCATTCAATACCATCAGAAAGAGTAGAATCCATGTGGTTTCCTTCTCAGGCAATGCCATCAGACGGGACTGAGAAAGTATACTTTCTCTACTGCTCCTCCCCTTCTCTGAAATAATATTTTTCCTAAACTCTGACTGGCCCCAATCTTGCTAAGATTCAGGAAACTATCAAAATCTAATTCTATCAGCTGACCTTAGGAGTAGAAATGTATTCATTTGAGAATGTATTCATTTAATTGAATTGTATTTATTCCCTGGTGCACTGTAAATGTTGTTACCAGTTGTAATGATCTTATACTATTTTTTAAAATCAAGTTTATGTGTTTTGGCAGTGGTTATTTCAAAGTTTATGTCTATTTGATATATAAATCTCTCAGAGTCAGCAATGGCTGAAGCTGTATATAAGCCTAGTAAATTGAGTAGTAGAGGTTGTATTTTTTCTGTTTCCGCAGAGAAAGCTACTGATGGCTCCTTACAGAATGAAGATTGGGCTCTTAACATGGAAATCTGTGACATCATTAATGAGACAGAAGAAGGGTAAGGAAACAAGTGCTGAATAGAGAATCAATAGTCATTTTCTGGATACGTTCACTGATGGTTTTGCATTAGCTTACACATTTTTCCAAGTTTCTTAAAGACACACCCAGCTCAGGAAAAGTGATACTTGTAACAGGGAGCATTGATATAAAACATAAAAGCTCAATGCTGAGTCTTCTGACAGTTTTCAAAAAGGAGCCTACTGCTCAAACACTGTTTTTGTTATCAATGCCAAAAATTCCATTATCATAGCTGTAATTCTTTGCACAAGGGTAAAAAGCAATCTTACACGCTTTTCCTGACATTGAAAAAACTAAAACTATTCTTAATTCTCTTCTTAATGTATTTTTCTTTAGATCTGTTCATTTTAATTGTTAATTCTTTCTTTAAATAATTTAAATTATCTTCCTTTGCAATTTAGTGCCTCATTTTCAGGTATTTTCGTTACGTTAAGGAATCTTGGTTCTTTTAATTTATATGAATAAAAATGTTGTGTGTTGGAGAAAGAAAATCATTTACTGTATTGTGAAGAGGAGGTTGCTCTTTTTGTGCTGTGGTTGGGTGATTCCAGGGTATAATTGAAGAAGAACAAACCTGATTCTGACCCTTATTGCCTGGCAAATTGCAAGTATATGTTTCTTTTTCAAAGTTAGTCCTTTTATAATCTGACATTTGCTATTGCTAGGCCCAAAGATGCTTTTCGAGCCATAAAGAAAAGGATTGCCGGGAATAAGAATTTCCACGAAGTGATACTGGGTTTGACAGTGAGTATGATGCAGATTTTTCAGTCACGGTAGAATAGAAGGTCTACACATCCTGTTAAAATGCCATGTTTTTGAGATGTGAAAAAAACCAGATCAAGATAAATCACTTCAAAGTTTTTTCCACTTTTCATATAAGTATAAGCTATACAATTCAATTGAAAAACAAACAGAAATCTTTTAGGATGAAAATAACAGTAAGAAACCAGAGTAATGTAGCTGCATAAGCATGCACACCCTTAAACTAATACTTTGTTGAAGCACCTTTTGATTTTATGACAGCATTCAGTTTTTTGCAAGAGCTGCTTATCAACATATCACATCGTGCCTTGGGAATCTTTGTCCGCTCTTCCTTGCAAAAGCACTCCAAATTGCAAGAGCATCTTCCTATGCACCACCACCCCTTTCAGGTCACTCCACAGATTTTCAGTTGGATTCAGATCTGGGCTCTGGCTGGATCATTCCAAAACTTTGATCTTCTGGTAAAACCATTCTTTTGTTGACTTGGAAGTATGCTTTGGGTCCTTGTGATGAAAGGTGAAATTCTGTTCAGCTTTAGCATTTTAGCAGAGGCCTAAAGGCTTTATGCCAAAATTGACTGATGTTTGGAACTGTTCGTAATTCCCTCCACCTTGACTAAAGCCCTAGTTCCAGCTAAGAAAAGCAGCCCCAAAGCATAATGCTGACATACCCATGCTTCCCTGTGGTATGATGTACTTTTAGTGATGCACAGTATTGTTTTTGCGCCAAACATGCTTTTTGAAATTATGGCCAAAAACTTCAACTTGAGTTTTATGAGACCATAACACATTTTTCTACATGCTTTTGTCAGACTTGCTATAGGTTTTTGCAAAATGTAGCTGGGCTTGGATGTTTTTCTTCGTGAGAAAAGTCTCCCTTTTGCCATCTACCCCACAGCCAAGACAAATGATGAATTGGGAGATTGTTGTAAATGTAGCACACCCTCAGCACTTGCTCAAAATTCCTGCAGCTACTTTAATGTTGCTGTAGGCCTCGTTGGCAGCCTCTTGGACCACTTTTTGTCTTGTTTTTTCCTCAATTATGGAGGGATATCTATAGGAGATGTCACTGTCATATTTTCTCCATTTATTGATAACTGTCTTCATTGTGTTCCATGGTATATCCAATGCCTTGGAAAAAATTTTGTACCTTTCTCCTGACTTCCAACAATGAGATCCCTTTGATGCTTTGTAAGCCCTTTGCAGGCTTTTGCTGTAAAAGGCAACTGAGTAAATGTCAGAAAAATCCTACTAAAATAGCTGAACTTGATCAGAGTCACTTAAATTGGTGGCAGGTGTGTACCATCATTTTGAATGTGGCTGATTAATTCTGAACACAGCCACATCCCTGATTATAAGAGGGTGTGCATACTTATACAGCCACGTTATTCTAGGTTTTTATTGTTATGTTTATGCATAAAAGATTTCAGTTGTTTTTCAATTGAATTGCATAGTTTATATGTTATATTAAAAGTGGGGAAAATTCTGAAGTGATTTTCCAATATTTGAGGGGCTCCTACAGACACAAGGGGATCAAATTATTTTCCAAAGTACCAAAAGGCAAGACAAGAAACAATGGATGGAATCTAACCAAGGAGAGAAGCAGCCTAGAACTAAGGAAAAAATTCCTAATGGTGAGAGCAATCAGCCAATGGAATAGCTTGTCTTCAGAAGTAGTGGTGCTCCATCACTGTCTGAAATGGTGTAGGGTCTCCTGCTTGAGCAAGGGGTTGAACTAAGGTCCCTTCCAACTCTATTATTCTATGTTCTATCTTGATTTTTTTACACCTCAAAAATTTGGTATTTTAACGGGTGTGTAGACTTACTTCCACTATATATAAAGTTATCCCTTCACCTTCTCTCTCACCTTTGCTTTTTACCATCTGTCAATGGGGATAGCTTTCCATTTAAGCTTTATTGACAAACTGAGTGAGAGGCAGTTCTGCTCCATTTGGTAACTGTCTTATGTCAAGGATATACATGGAAAAGAGAAGTGATCCCTAACCTGGAGTACTAAGTTTTCATGTAAGTAATAGGAAGCACAGTTTTTTAAAAAAAAGTATATTGTGAAGATTGTCTGAATTAATTGAAAAACACTGCAAATATACTTCACAGAAAAAGAATAATTTTATTGGTCTAATGTGAAACAACCATCCCTTTCTATTTGCCTGTGGATACCAATTCAATTCAATTTACATAATATCAGAACTTATCTTGTTTTTGCAATCAAGGAACTGAATCACTTGGGATTGGTGATATATAGGTATTTCTAAAACACTAGTTGTAGTGTGATCAGGAAATGAAAAAAGCAAAAAGCAAGTAGACCAGAAGTAATTTCTAATGCATCTTCTTTGACTTTGCAGGTCCTTGAGACATGTGTCAAAAACTGTGGTCATCGCTTTCACATACTTGTTGCTAGCCAGGATTTTGTAGAAGGTGTATTAGTACGAACTATCCTTCCCAAAAACAATCCTCCAGCTATTGTACATGATAAGGTGCTGACCCTCATCCAGGTAAGTGCATCCCTGTCAATCTTTCTGTCTTTCAGAAGGTCTCCATGAATGATAACAGACCCACAATTACTTTGCCTAAGCCACAAACCCAGATTATTTTCATGGCAGTATGTAATCTATGCTTATTAAATAGAAGTAAACTTTCTACCCATACTTGGTTTCCCGAGGATAACTGAAATCTGAAACATTTATGTACATTGTAGATGTATTCAGTTTACATAATATCAGAACTTATCTTGTATAAAATAATTATTATAAATAACTTAAGACCTTATTTTGTATAAATAATTGTGTTACTGTTCATGGAAAGAGGCAAAACGCAGGCAACAGGCAGAAGCTATCTTTTTAACTCATGAAACCTACTGTTTCTTTTAGATCTCAGCTGGAGCAGTTACAAGCTTATAGTCACAAGGACTAGAAACTTAACATTGTGATAAGATGGGTGGCAAACATTTTTAAAAAGTCAAAATCAGGTTTTCTAACAGCTATATGCTGCTAGTGTTACCATATATCTAGTATTTATCAGGTCATTCCAGCATTTAGACTCTGACCAGCCCATGCAGCCAAAAACCTTTAAAAAGCTGAAATGTCCAAGGTACTATGGAATGTTCATATCTGGTCATTGCTCTTTGCTTTTAACACAATCTGGTTTTCTTGCATGCTTAACAGAATCATAATGTTCCTGCTTATAAAAAAAAATCACACAAGAGTTTAAAAATGAAAAAAATGAAATTGTTTTCCTGCCTATCTAGTCCTGGGCTGATGCCTTTCGTAGTACACCGGACCTGACCGGGGTTGTAACTGTTTATGAGGACCTGAGGAGAAAAGGCCTGGAGTTTCCCATGACAGATCTAGATATGCTATCACCCATCCATACACCACAGAGGGTAAATGTTTATTGCACAATAATTCTTCATTTGCATTACAAATATTAGAGTGAAATGTTATATGAATAATATTAGATGAAATATATCTTGAAGGTATTTAGAAATAGTGCTGTTGATCTGTTCCAATTGTTTTCCCTTTCCAAACTGATACATGTTATGAAAAAAAAATGAAAGAACTGCATGGCAAGATATATCAAGTGTAGTGAAAGTAAGCAGATCACTTGGTTTATTTATTTATTTAGAGTAATTTATTGCTATCAGAATCAAAGTCTAAGAACCATACAGAATTCAAGAAACAGGCTTCATAACCACTGGAAGACATAGTTGAGAGTTCTGAACACAAACTAGTTTGGACATTTCCCCCAAAGCGCACAGTCTAGTTGAAAATCCGCTTTGTTTTGAAAAGCAACATATTTCATCCTACCTGCTGTTTGCTGCTCATGCAGAGAAATGAAAAGAACCAGGTTGCAGTGCCTGCTTTGGAAACCATAAAGAAACATTAAGGAGAATGGGAAACATTTTGACCAGGTCATTACTTAGATAAAAAGAAAACACTATAGTTGTAGGTAAGAAAAACAGCATATAATATACAGGGCAGAATTTTTTAAGGAGAAATAATTGAACTGTTCTTCCTCTCCTTTATGGATTTCTCTTTAGACTGTATACACACCACCAGATTCCCAGTCAGGAGTTACTTCATCAGCAGATTCTCCTCAGGCGATAGATTCAATCCTGCACCCTGTGTCCTTACCACAAGTTCCAGAGATTGCAGCTGATGCTTCTATCACACCTACGCCAGACCAGGTAAGACCAACACTAACCACTCCTTTCTCTCTATATAAGAGTTTCTTGTTGAAGGCTACCCATTTTTACTTTCTGACTTTCTGAAACAAGAATCCATGCATCTTATGGACCAATGTCAAAGGACATGTTTGTCTGAAAGAGTAACAATATCAAACAGACGATTTAGACAGGATATAAGGATTCCTCTCTTTCCTGGGCTGACGGTAAATTGTCAGCAATCCTATTACATTTGTCATACAGATGTTCAGTATAAAAACATTACTTCTGAGCAGAAGCCAGGGGAGAAGAGAATAACCAGGCTTCCATGTATTATTCACCAAGAAGACCACTTCCATTAGTATATATGTCACACCCTTTGTCATCTATTCATAACTTAACTGAAAAGTTTGAAATGGTGCCCCTTAGCTTTCACTTTTAGCTGTTAGACTTTAGGTCATATTGACTGTAATAACATAACACTTCAGACAAAATTCCAGTTGTCTATTCTAACGTAGGACAAACTCAGCTCTGTTTGCAACTGTCTAACCATAGAGTTGAAGAATTCAAGGTAAAAGAGGAATATGTGTTGTTAACTCAGAATCTAAAATTAATTCGAGGAGATTCCTGGAAATAGCCAGGAAGGGAGCAGGCAAATACTGAGCTTATTTATGCGTAAATTATCACACCTAGCAGAACAGAGAAAACTTGATAGACAAGAGCAACCAGATTATACTAGCTGGATGACTATTAGCTTGACAAATTAAGGCAACATATCAGTAATGGAATGCTTAGAAAATGTCTCTATTGTTGTTTTCAGATTGGAAAATTACGCAGTGAATTGGAAGTGGTGAATGGAAATGTAAAAGTAATGTCTGAGATGTTAACAGAATTAGTACCAGGACAAACTGAATCTTCTGACCTTGAACTGCTCCAGGTACGAAGTGCTGAAATGTGACATCTACTATTTAGTGACATTTAGTTCAACCTAGCAATCATTGAGCCTGAACCTAACCCCAAAAATTAATTTTCGGATTCATGACCTGGATGAGTAAACCTAGATTTTTAACAGATTAGTTATTAGCAGCTGCTTCTTAACTTAGTTTCTTTAGTTCTGTTCTCATAATTTGTACCTTCCTTCTGTGTCTAGGAACTCAACCGGACATGTAAAGCAATGCAGCAGCGTATATTGGAGCTGATTCCCCGCATCCTCAATGAACAGCTAACTGAGGAGCTGCTCATTGTGAATGACAACCTCAACAATATTTTCCTGCGCCATGAACGGTATTTCTGAGATCAACTTTCCCTTTCCCTTGTTCTTTCCCTTCTCTTTTATAAATAAAGCAACCTGCTGTTTTCCATTGAAACTATCTCCTTGATCCTCATAGGTTTGAACGGCTCCGATCTGGCCAGTCTGCAAAGGTATTTCAGCACTTACTTAGTTTGTTTGAATTACAGTCCACCTTTTCTCCAAGAACTCAGGAGAACATACATTGCCTTTACCAATCTGTACCCTCCAAAGCAACCCAGAGAGGTAGCTTGGGTTGAAAGAGTATGCGGCCTAAAATTACCTGTAAATTTCCTTTGCTGTGGGTGGACTTGATCCTGGGATTTCCTTGTCCTAATACAATTCTTTGACCACTAAGTACTCCTTCAAAGCATGCTCATGAGGTCATATTGATATTGCTAGAGAATAAGATAAAATAGATAGTGGCTGCAAAAGCATACTTGAGCTTATTTTGTATAATCCTTGTTGGCTTCAGATATTTGTAGTTGGGCTTTTTCCACCTAAACAACAACAAAAAGATGTTAAAAGTTCTAGTGGCATTTTGCTGGGGAACTTACCTCCATTTGGTTGTGCCAAAATGTTTCCAATACAGGATGCACATCATTTTATGATTCAGGATGCATGTCACTTTACGATACATAAAATTTAACTAAGTTTTGCATTTACTAGATTTAGAGAAAGATTCTAGGAGGATTGTTCATTAGTGTACCTGGTTGTTTGGACTGATCCTAAACTAGGGCAATTGTTGTGGTTCAGGGGAAGAGTTTGTGTACTCTGTGCCCAAGATCCTAGATTCAGTTCTGACTGCCAGATAGAAATGGGACATCAACAGCCAATAGGGAATAGTTTGAGATGGTGAATAATATTTTCATTTCAACCCGGAAACACTTTTCTTAATTTGTGTACATTAGACTTGTCATTTTTGTCACATACTTTCATAACCATCCTTCAACTCCATAAACTTCAACTCCAGGGAGCCCCCAAAATTTTAGTGATTGCATAGTAGAACCTACATTGGAAGCATGAAGTCTTGATATGTTTTGAAGTCTTAAGATGCCCCAGGAAATGCTTGTGTGAGAATTCCTTTGAACATTGGAAGGGCTATGTGGCCTTTTCTTCATTTGTTTCCCTAACACCCCTATTTAACTGACTGTTTAATGTAGCAACTTTTCATTCATATCACCCTTTTCTCAGGCTTTCATATCCTTGGTTGGATTTCCCCAACAAATCCAAACACATGATCTGTGAATTGGGAGGCATGTTTTGAAAGAAATGCTATAATCCTTCACAGCAATCCAAGATTAGCAAATGCATTTTGTTTTACTTTTTTTCCCAAGCAACAAAATGACACAGAGAATGAAAACAGTCTGCTTGACATGGGACCTAGTATCACATCAGCACAAAAAGTTCCTGAAACTGCCAATACACTTTCATCTCAACTTGCAGGAATTGGTAAGTATGTTAGTTGGATTTGTAGGGCTGCAAAATTATTTTCCCCATTCACATTCACAATTCTGACCATTTGGCGAGTTCTCTCTAGTTTTTATACAATTTCCTGCCTAATAAAAAAACAACAACATTGTTTGAATGCAGGCAAACACAAGCAGTAATAGGCAGATTTATTGAGAAATTACTAAAAACCAGATAGCCATATTTGGCCAAATGCATGCTGTGTAGAAGTCATAATAGATCTTTCTAATACTTTCTCCTGGAGAATTTGCCCCCTCCGTGCAAGAAAGCTTGATTCTTCTTTTTCAGACTGATAGGTTCATTATATCTTCATATATTTTTAACATTCTAGAGATACCTTGCTGTCTTTTGCCTTGTAGATCTTGGTTCTAGCAGTGTCAGTGCAGGTTTGCAGTCCCTCAATAATTCCAGCAAACTGGAAGAAGAGTTTGATATGTTTGCACTGACCCGTGGCAGTTCCTTAGCTGAGCAACGCAAAGAGTAAGTGAATATACCCACTATATTAAAATGGGCAAAAATTAATAATGTAAAGCAAATTTTTCAAACTAAGAGATTGAATGCCCAATTTGGTAAATTAATGTATGCCTGTATTCAGATTTTACTGGTGTCATTTTGATTTAATCTATGCAAAACATTTTTTAAATATAGACATAATTTCAAAAGCTTTCGACTATCTGCCCTTCCATATTTTTTCATGCAGAGAAAGAAGTTGTTAATCCAAAATTCTTAAGTCCTGCAAGTAGAAAAGAAAAATGGACAAACCAGGAGACTGAAATCAAGGCTGCCAATATTATGAAAAATAAGTTTTGAAAGCTCACATAGCATCTGTCTTTCCATGTTGTATGTGAAGTTGAAATTCCTAGTTTTGGTGTCAGTTTGGGAATGAGTATTACCATTCAGAATTAGATTTCCTTTTTGACAATAAACTATTGAATTTTAGGTATTGACTCCTTAAATTTTTAATACAGTGATACTAAGAAAACATATTTTGTGTCTTATTATGCCTTAACAATAATGCTAGTGTGGTTTTCAGAATTAGGTTGTTGAAATTTCAAAAGACTGTTTGTTGTTTTACTCAGAAGAACTAGGACTAACCTCAACTGTAATTAGCACATTCCTCTCCTCCACTCCCTCTCCTTCTTGGCATTTCCTAAATCTCTAGAGGTTTCTGTGAATTGCAACTGCAATAAAATGGAAGGTTTGTTGTTAATAACATGGACCAAATGAAGAACAGAATTATGAATAAGTGCAGTTTTAGCAAGGTAACAGTCAGTTAAGACTAATGCTTTAGTTATGCACTTCCCCAGCTCACTCTGGCTGTGCTGGATTTTCAGGACCTCTCACACCCTCAAGGCACCCCTTGCACAGCTTCCTGCCCCTTGGGCCTTCTGTCCCTGTCATGCTTTGTTCCACTGACTTCTTCTGACCTCCAAAAGAGCTCCCAGCCAATGTGATGTTACAGTCTTCCTGCAGAAACAGCTTTGTGTGTTCTGGAGTGGGCACCATTTGTGCAATCTCTCAGAGAGGCGTGATTTTCCAATTCATGCAATTTGGAAAATCATGTCCTTCTGAGAGATTGCAAGAATGGCAGCCACTTCCAGAATGGTGCAAGGCAGCCTCTGTAAAAGCCTGTCGGGCAGATTGGCTGGACACTCTATTGGAAAACTGATCTTTGGAGATCTCCTTTCCAAAAGAAAATGAGCTGATATGCCACACATCCTTCCTATATAGAAGCTGCTTAGTGCCATCTTGTAGGCAGGTGCCATTTTGGAAATGACTGTCATTCTTGGATTGTGAGAATTGTGACTGCTTCCAAAATGGTACATGCTTCCAGGATGGCACCAAGTGGTTTCTGTATAGAAAAGCACATGGACTGATTCTCTTTCAGAAAGGCAATCTTGGGAAGAGGTAAGTGGAGCAAGGCCCATCGGAACTGGCCCAAGGATGTTGGATTCAGTGGGACAGGGAACACGCCAAGCCTCTAGGGGCCCTGCCAAGTGGAAAGAGGCCCAAGAGACATAATAGAACAGGATTGGGTAGGGGAGATAGGCTGGTTGGGGCAGTTGTAGCATACCTGAGATCGGTTGTAAGGATTGACAAATTTTCAAGTTCCTGAATTGTGATCATGTGAGCACAGGGTCGTTAGAGCAGTCAGAACTTCAAGTACAACTTGTAGCTCCCTTCGTTCAGCACCACTGTAATTTCAAACAGTTGCTTAACAGGTGGTTGACAGTTGAGGATTTGCATCTTGTTTATTTATCTAGTAGCGGTAATGCAGATTGTCTGCAAGCTGTTATGCAAGCTAAAAACATGAGCTGTTGCCACAGTGTATGGCTGAGTTAACATTTTTCTGAGGAAACTGCTTGTTTGTCAGAAAGTTCTTTGATTTTAATTTTCTCACATATTCTTAATTACTTAGTTGTTTGGTAAATAAACATCTTAAAAGATGACATAGCTCTTCTCTGTATAAAGCAACAGAAATTTCCTGCAATAGGACAGGCTATTTTGACACACTCTGCTGACACATTCCTGATGCAAAACCATGCATTCACCAAATAGCTTTAAAATAACCATACTTTTCTTAGACATTGCACCTTCCCTCGCTTTATTCCAAGATTTGTTTGATAGGAATAATGGCAGTACTGATCCACTCTGCAGAATGGCTATGAAAATTACATGAGGCATTTTGTATACCAAAAAACTGATACAAAATTCTAAGTACTATTCATCTGGCTTTAGTCTTATAATGATATATAGCTAATTTTGAGGATCCTGCCTAACTCAGTAGTTCCAAAAAAAAACCAGCTGTGTCCTGGCATATTTTTCAGACTTGATAGCATAAGATTAGAGCAAGTCTTTTTGAGTGACATCATTGCTAATAGAAACAGATGTTTTTTACGGGCATGTGCACTTATGCACCCTCCAACACTTAGCAAAATAGGCTGTGTGCCAGTATGCCTCTAGGCATCACTGATTCAGCTCTTGCTGCCACTGAAGAACTTATAATGCTTGCCGCAGAGAGCGCCTTTTCAGAGATTCTGCCTGGTTCAAAGATGAAGGGAAACCATCCAGAGGAAGAATACAGACGCCCCATGAATATACCAGGTTGTCGGAAGACTAATCCCGGCCTGCTTGCTGCTAATGGAATATGAAGTAGAATTGGGAACTATTTGGAAAGAAAGCAGAAAGAGTGAACCAGCACTAGAAGCAGCTGAAACCTAATCTCTTGACTGATCCACTCTGACTGATCTTTTCCCCCTCTGGATAATTGCACAGGAACTGGCAGCGTATTTTCTCCAGCACCTCTCGATCCTCTTATGATTAAGGCAAATGTAATCTTTCTGATAAAGGGACACCTTCAGTTTATTCGGCTATCTCAAGTTGGACCGGTTGCCTCCTATTTTAATTTTTTGCCCGCAAGCCAGATTGGGATTATCTATTCTGCAGCCTGCCTCTACTTCCACATACGTTTGTGCTTTTCTTTTCTTATGCTTTGACTGTCAGATCAAGATAACTTTATTGGAGTTGGGCTTGGGTGTCTTTCCAAACATCATAAGCATCATGCAGAAGTTCTGGCAACACATTAAACCATTCCTACCTTTCTGCCTTATCACTGCTATGGTGGTGGGACTCTGTTTCATCCTTGATTTTATTGTGCACAGTGGGCCCTTCACTGACAAGCATTTCTTTGAAAAGTTTGAGCAGAGGTGGCCCAACCCCCTGGCTGCAAGAAGGAACAAGTCCCAGTAATTATGGGTGGAACAGAAATATGAGCTCGGGGGAGCTCCTTTCTGGGGCAACATCATCCAAGATTGCATTGACCCTGTATAAGAAATTATTTAGATAGAATGTAGACAGAAGGCAGATCTGGGTATATTTTAGAGTAAATAACAAAAATTAGTTATTTTTGTCAAAAAATATGTAACTCTATGAAATAGTTTCTATGAGATGATATTCAGTTGAAAAGGCATTGCAATAACTACTGGTCTGCATTAATCTGGAAACGTTATGCCAGTCTAATTTTATCTGCAAAACAGAGCATGTAATGTGTGTTAGGTTCATATATTAAAGTAAAATAGAGATAAATGTAGATCTATGTGCACGAGCAATTCTATATCGAGTGCTTATAAAACTATTAAATGAAAGTATCTTATTCTCTCTTCTTGTAGAGATATACTTAAAATGATATTTGCAAAAATCTCAAAAAGCAAGCAGATAGATTACTAGGGGCAGGGCACAGCAGATTAATACCTATTATAATCCTTTAACCTTCCCTACCAACTACCAACATCAAAATAACTTCTGTAAAATATCAAACTGAAAGATAGCATGCAAGAGTGTTTTATTTGCTTAGTGTATGCAGGCTGCATTTTTTTTCTCAAAATGAGAAATAGATTTGATTAGAGGATTAGGTTAGATTCTCAAACTGGGTTTTTAAGGTTTAGTTCGTAAGATGTTGGGCTGAGAAGACTCAGAATCATTGGTTGACTTACAGCCTTTCACCTATTCTCAGCCAATCCACTTCAGTACTCTTGTAATAAAATTACTTTTTCTAAAATTACTTTTTCTAAATCTCAGTTTAGTAGCAAACAAATTGGTTCTACATTAGTTGTAAACTATTATACCAAAATAAAGTTTAAGTTGACTAGGAATGGATTTTTATGTGGAATGACTAGGCACTCCATTTGGTTCTGGTATTCAATAGATGTGCAAACTCAGAATTCTTTAATTCTAACAAAACAGATTCTGCAGGTATGCAATCTGACTTTCTGTGCTTTATCTCATTGAGAAAACATACAGTAAAGTTCAGTGAAACTATAATTGAATATTAAATTTTAGGATGAAACAGTTGCAACTGCTTCACCTAGTATATATGCATGCAAATCAATATGCAATTGCGAAAGATCTAGCTATCAAAGACTTAGACTTAAAATCTTCATTGCATCTTCTTAATCCTTTGCTCACTTTATTCTTGCACATCAGTGCTTAAGATGATTTACAGCCATTCTAAGTCCGCTAAAAATAATAAATAATTCACACCAGTAGCATCATCCAACTATAACTACAGCCTGGCAAAACATTTTTCACATGCCTCCTAAAAGAGATTAAGTAGCTGAGAAGAAGATTTCATAACTAGTACTACAGTTACAGTGGAAAACGTACAGAGATGGAATGTGGAGTAAGAACTTTTCTACAGTTTTCACATGGCCTTCTCAAAATACAAAGTAAGCCATTTCTTAAAGTATGAAGGATTCTACAAATCTGAGATTGATGGGTGGTTAAAGGATATATTACAAAGAATACTCGAGAATTTAGAAATATTGACACCAGCATTTCTGTGCTGCCAGTGTCTTATCAACCTTATTAATGCTATCCAAATGTATTTCAACAACTACTGATATTTACAGTTAAGCAATTATTTACAAACTCTAGGAGTCAGCAGTTTTATCATGGAACTTGGGCAGAGATTGGGTATAGTCTTTCAGTCACTCATAAATACACAGAAGAGCCTGCAGGTTCACACCTTTCTAGAAGCTATTCTGAGGATGTCCAGCAAAATTGTGAACATACATTGTAAATAATTCATCTGAGAGTTCTACTGATTACCAATAATGAAATAGTTGTTTGCCTGATTGATATTTTACTTCTAAATGTGAATTCTAACTTTGTATGCAACTATTTGTAGCTACTTTTTCCAATCTCTGATGCAGTTGAATTTGCTGTTTTATTTCATCCTCAAATGTCCACAACTAACCAGTATCATAAATCCAATGTCTGATGTCACCATATATTCCTAGAAAATTCTTTAACATTGTATGAGCCTATACAAAGAGACAATTGAAGGGGAGTTTATTCATTTTGACATTAAAATTTTCTCTAAATCCTTTCTCTCTTACCTCTTTTTTTAAAATTTGGTTTTACGGCCAACCTAAGTACATGTATGTGCCAGTGTTTACCAAATTACAGGCAGGATGGATGGATGGATGGATGGATGGATGGATGGATGGATGGATGGATGGATGGATGGATGGATAGAGTACCACAAGTCAAGTCTTATAAGTCAATCACAGTGTTGTTTTTTTCTTCTGAGAAAATGTAGTTTACTTAAGAACATTCAACTGTTATGCATTAAATGAGTAAGAAAGTTTAAAAGAAAATGACAAATCAGACATTTAATGTAATTTATATTACATTTCTATTGGGCCTGACTATTGGTATGTCTATGTGGGTCTGTGTGTGTTTTCTGTCTCTCTGTGTATAAAGCACCCCCAACCTCACCCCAGAAATCTGGAATATATATCTGTGCTTTAGATAAAATGCCCAAACCCATGTTTGTTGGCTAACCTGATTTCCTCTTTCAGGGTGAAGTATGAAGATCCTTTAGCAACAAAAGGTCTAGCTGGAGCCTTGGATGCCAGACAACAGAATACAGGAGCAGTGAGTAGCTATCTATCAAACTGTTAGACAGTTGTGTATATAACTACATAACTATATAACTGAAGAGGCATATCCTGCCTGTTCAAGGCATCATGTACCTCCCTATATGTACCACTGATCTCTAACCAGTATGATCAGTTATTTTTGCTGAGGCAATGTGAAGTGTAATTCAACATAACTGAAGGATGCTAAATTTGGGGAGATTGTAGTATCCTTTATAATACAGGTTTCTATGTTTTCATGTAGAATTTGTATATGAATATATTACCTCTCCAAAGTAAGAGAACATACAATCTACCCGTAGTGAGAGTAAATTCTGTAAAGGAATTCTAAGAGGAGGCAAAAATGATTTCAGATTTCAATTCATTTTTAAGCAATTTTTTCATGATATAGTTCCCACAACAGTTCATAATAAATCACAATAGACTACTTACATACATTCAGCAATAATGCAAACCAAAGATCCATAGTAATGCACTGCATTATGTCCAATAATTCATTAAAATTCAATCTAATTTGGAAAACATAAGCAAAATATTTAAAAGCTAATTCTACAAAGGTTTGAAATATATAACATTTTAATCCTCATAATACTTTTGTTCTACAATACAGTATATTGGAATTATTATATCTCAACCATAAGAAAAGATAGTAATTAAAAATGCTGTATGTATCATCAAAATTCTTCAATCTTCAAACAGTCATCAAGCTCCAAAAATACAATACTAAAAAAAAAAACACTGCAAAAGAGAATGAATCCTATGCATTCCTCCTGGGGTAAATACAGTCAAAAAGATGAGTTCTCTAATATATCATCTTCTTGTGTTGAATCCACTTTATAGTAACATAGGTTTCAAATATAGTTCATCTGAATCGAGCTTCTTTCAAGTCTGAGTTAGACCCCTCCTTTTTTAACTCAGTCCTTAAGAGCAAAAAGCACTGTTTCTCCATCCAGTTTCTTTCTGTTCTATAGATAATTCAACCTTCTCTTATGGACTTGGGCCATAAGTTCCTTCAATTTCATTACAAAGAATGACAGGCAGAAGAGAAGGTCCCCCATGATCTTTTAGATAAAGAGGGGATAGTTCCCCCACTGAGAACATTGCTCCCTGCTCTCCTCATCATCCACATTTTCTATCTTCTTTGAAAGCAAATTTTCTCTTAATTAGCTGGAGCCAGGTGCTTCTACTGATGAGGCCCCGATTACAAACTGGATGATGCGCCAAGGAATGGTGAGAATGTATCACTGCTGGGGAAGATTTTAAAAAGCGCTTAAAGAATATCAAGCATATTGTGGCACGGATTGAACACTGTGTGGGGACAACAGCAGACAAAGTGATATGATTAGGTTTGAAGCCAAGAAAGCTCTCCTTCAAAATGCCACATTCCAGATACTACCTGGGTAGAGGAAAAGTTTTTACAATAGCCAAAATAGAATCTTTTACAGTTTTTTAATTTATTCCCACCATCTTTGTAACATAATGTGTATAATTCTGAATGCACTTGCAGTGCATTACAATCCAGAGATTATGTACGAAAAATCCATTATTTCTTTCTGACTATCTTCATAAGAGACTAGAAATGTTCTCCTTATTTTGGGGGTGGGGGATGGGGAGGAGGAAGAGTGATAAAGGATTATGAAGTGACCATATCCTATGGTTCCATATCAAGCAAGGATTGTACTCTGACATAGGGCACATACAGTCACCTAGTGGCAAGTTCTGCTTTGCTTTTTCTTTTGATTTTTTTCTATAGCATCCATTTCTATTTTCTATAGCATCTGGAACGAGCTGCCCCCAGAGATCCGGGTGATTCCGGATCTCCCCTCCTTCCGCCGCGCCCTCAAGACTTGGTTGTTTCAGCGGGCAGGACTGGCCTAGGGGTATTTTAAATTGGTTTTAACTAAATTTTAGTAGAAGCGGCCTATTTAAATATTTATTTTTAATTATTCTCTTAAATTTTGTATTTTGTATTTGTATCAAACTGTTTTTAAACTGGCTGTAAGCCGCCCTGAGTCCTCCGGGAGAAGGGCGGGGTATAAATATAATAAATCATTAAATCAATCAATCAATCACTTTCAGGAGAAATATATGCACAAACGCTAGAATCAATATTCAGCTACCTATCATTTTGATCCTGAGATTCCAGGATTATAAATGCCATTGAACTAATCAATAACATCAACCTAGGATTGGAATTGTACTGCTTTGTCCAAGCTGAACCCATACACTGTTCTGGATTATTTTTGTAGCTCTCATTTCCATCTGTTCCAGAAAGCTCTTCTGAGAATAAAAAAAATTATGACCGCATTTTTCTTAATAATGCCTCTCTTCGCCAAATTTTCAACTCAGTTTGAAGAAGGAAAAAAAAAGAGCTTTTTTCTTGGCAGAGGAAAGAGAATGAGATAAAAATAGATCAGACTCTGGGAGTGGCTTTAATGGAACTGATTGCATGATTTCTTCCCTTGGGCTAGTTGGCTTCTATTCGTTTGGTTCAGTTCTCTTTGTTTTCCAATACTTTTTCTGCCTTAATGGTATTTGTGCTTTAACTTTGAACATTTTTTTCTTAACATAAGAATCTGTCTATTGAGACCACACCTGCTTGCTTTTGGAAAATAAAAGCCCCCCAAAAATATATTCTTTCTTTTGCACATTCTGGCTATCAAGATAAGCTTACTTGGTCTAAGATAGGAACATGAACTTAAAAATGAAGACATGGGGAAGTAAGAAGTGGAGTTTCATCATTATATTGTGAAATTACAATATAATTCCCCAGGCAAGTTTTCATTTTTGGTTTGTAATGGAAACAAAACCCTTTGTATCACAGGCACAGGTTATATGCTTAATAGCAATAAGTAAAAATGGCTGACTGAATACACCAATGTGTTTATATAAGAAACCCTATTTCTTTTAAATTTTAAGAATATGTTAAAGATATTTTACTAAACATAGGAAATGGGCAAAATCTGAGAATCTTATTTAAATTTTTTGTTGGATTTACATCCTACCTTTCATTCAGGAACTCCAAATAGCATACACATCACTCTTTCCTCCACTTGTTCCCCACATAAACAACTGTATGAAGAAGATTAGTGTAAGGGGTAATAATTAGCCAAAAGAGATGACAGTGTAGAGGAAAGAAGTGAAACTTTGAGAGATCTTATTTGTCAGATCTTAACTGTATGATTGTTATGCCAGAGTGGCACAATGAGAGCTTAAAGTGGCCTTTATATTAGAAGATGGGAGTAAAGCAGAAGCCCACAGAAGCACTTTTTCTAGACATAAATTACCTGATTTTGTTTTGAAAAATGTTGTTCCTTAAGCTTGTTAAATACAGTGGTATGACCTAAAATAAACTAAAACACAGAAGATTTTTATGCTGTGCTTGATAAAATTAAAACATATATCAAAGCCTTCTAATTAATTATGTCTCTCCATATACATTATGATGTTATCCATAACATCTGTACCTGCAAGGTAAGACCCAAGCTGGGTGCAAAAGATTTTTAACCATTCTTCATTTAAGAAATGTTGAATCAATCAATCAATTATATCCATTCAATTTATTACAGCCAAAGGCCACACATAAATCAAACATCCAAATAAAACAAAACTAGACAGAGCCATCACAAGAGGACATAGCAATACATCACAATCAATGGTGCAATCAATGGGCAACCAAGGTATGCCTAGTTTTACAGGCAGTATATCAAAAACAAGCTATCTTCAGAAACTGAATCATACTGACAAAATGTTGAATCAAAAATGGGCCCCAAGAATTGCACTGATTTGAACCAGGTTTGAGGATATTTTTTTTTCACAAACATGGGTATGCAAGGTCTGTTTGGTCTTTTTCTTTTTCTCGCTTTCCTTGTCAGATTCCTGTACCCCAGGCTGCTTTCATGGAAGAAATAGAACAGTGGATCTCCACTGAAGTGGTATGTAATAAGGATGAAATGCTTGTGTATAAGGAGCTAATTACTGGCACATCCTACCTTTTGGAGAGGGACATAACTAAATGGTACATCGGGGTGGGGAGGGGGGAATCCTAGATTCTATCTCTAGCTTATAGAGATGATAATTATTAACTACTGAGACTGACTTCTTCTCTTGCACTACTCTCCTTGAGTCTCTTCTGAGGCAGAAAAGGAAATGCCTACTCTTCCTTTTTTGTGGCCAGATCTGTCTGTCATTGACATATCAGCATTAAAAACAGAAATTTGATATCAGTGTCCCAAACTCAACTGCTCCTTGAAACTCTATCTACTCTGTAGGTATGATGGATGAACATATACCAGATCTTAGTATTTATAGAACATTCTGTTCCAAGTGAGCCCTGTGAGTTTCTATTTAACCTTATTTGATTTCCATATTGCCTTTTTTTTCCTCCTCAGGGAAATGAAACAGTGGATCCAAAGGGTGTCACCAGTGAAGGCAAGTTATACCCAATTGTATATCCTGCTCTTATGACTAATATTCCCCAGCTACTAGGCCTGAAATGTTCTTCATTTATTGACCCTATGTGTACAAAGTCTAAAATCAAACTATCCTATGTGAACAACACACACATATGATTTCTTAGCATACCTGTAATTTTTGTAACCCCCTAATAGGGTTACCAGGATCTGTTAGATCTATTAGCTCTTGTAGCTATGCATTCAGAAATGTCCTGATGAAAGCAACTCTTTGTCATTGATTATTACCACAGCGATATGAGCTGTGCAACTCCAGATAGGTGTTTCACCAATAGAAGAGAATATTTGTAACTCAGACTTGAAATGAGGCGCCCTTGGTGCTCTCTGAGCTTGGTTGTTTTCTTGCAGGCCTTTCATTACCCAAACGGGTAATGAAATGTCTGAAAGAAAGCAACCAAGCTCAGAGAGCACCAAGAAGTTTCAGCTAATTCCTCCCAATGCCTTTCCAGCCCTGGTTTAATTCTTCCTCTTCCTCTTTTAAAATTCTCCCTAATTCTTTCTTGCCAGAGTTTGACAGATTCCTTGAGGAGCGTGCAAAGGTGGCAGATCAACTTCCTACCCTTCCCAGTGCCCCCACAGGGGCTCCTTCCATGTCTACTAAGTCCGGTCCTCAGCAAAAGAAGGAGAAAGCTGAAGATGCAATGTTCGCTTTATGAGCCGTTCTGCGGATTGGTGTGCCGTGGTTACAAGAGGGCCTGTCTGCTCTGCATGGCACTTCTTGGGGAAGAGAGGGGTATCCAAAGGAGACAAGATCAGAGAAGAGAATCTGCCCCTTTCCTTCTTCCTGCCTTCTTTCCAGACTGCTTTGGGTTAGGTTAATCATTGCTGCAACGGGGGACACTAAAGCAAAGCAAACAGTAGGAAGAGGTTGCAGAGCTGTCAAATGCATTTGCCAGATGAATTGGGATTTCTCTTGGGAGATCTAGGCAGTCTTGGGTGTGTTCTTCATTGTTTTGTTGTGCGTATCTTTCTCCAATGAGGATGACTCTTAAAAGTTGTGCCGAAAATGGGTAGTAGGATTTGTCAGTTTGTCCCAATCCCACAGGTAGTCATGTAAAAATCATCAAATTGGGCAGCTGTTTCAATGCTTAGCTGGCTTTTCTGTATTTTTTTCTCCACTAGCAGTAGGGGAACTACAGATCCAGTTTGCTTTGAAAAAAGAGTACTGTTTATGGTCTTTTTTCATACACGCACATACATGTAACACTGTGTTACATACCACTATTTCTGCATGAAGAATTCTGCTTGCAAGCCAAGCACATACTCTCTCCAGTCCAGATACCAGCTGCATAGTGTGTAATTCTGAGCAGTATCAATTTCTTCCAAGGCTTTCTTCTTTCAGTGTTCAAAGCTATAATGTTCAGGAGGCAAAGACTTTTCTGGGAGGGGGGGAATTGAACCTGATGAAACCCACTATCATGACTTTTCTGTTTCCACCATAATCTTCCCTTAGATTGCGTCCCACTTTCATTCTCAGAAAGAGCTGCAAATGACATTCACCAGGTTAAAGAAAGGTTTTTTTGGGGGGGGGAGGCAGTGTTGAATTATGCCATGAAATTGGGAGAGTTGCTTTGTATATGCCATATTAAAGAAATGACTTCACTACAAATATGTGCTTTCTGTGAAATTTGGGCTTGGCTTACGGTATAATACACTTTCTAATCAAATGTGGAGAAAGAGTGCAAGAAGGCTTCTCAGCAAGAGTTTGTAGTTCCTAGCAGAAAAGCAAAGCAAGGAAGTAACTCCTAACTGAAGTTTGTCTGTATTAATTTAGACCTAAAAAAGAATGTGAACATTTGCTGAGTAGATGCCACCTGGATGTATCCAACTGAACATGGTTATTCTTATACCAGGTCCATAAAACCCAAGCTTTATAGCACTGAACCAGAACATAAGCATTCAGATTAACTTGTACAGTAAGGTTAGCATCTGTCACTTAATTTCTGTAATTAATATGATAGCAGTCTTTTAGAAAATACAGATAAACTTGTCTTTCTTTTCAGTGGCCCTAGATTGGGAAACTTGTATATTAAAATCTTGGCACATCATAATTTCTTTTTGAAATTAAGTGTGGTATTTTTACCTTAAAAAGTTTTTCCCCAATTAATTTTCTACTTTTAGTATATTTTCTAACTGTTAGGTTATAAAGAAGCCAAAACTGATAAATAGAATTGTTTCTATAGTTGTTGGTGAAGCGCAAGTAAAGAGAGAAGTATACTTATTTCTGTTAAATTTGTAAACATGATAGAAAAGTTGAGCAAACTTAGCAGCTCAGAAAAGCTTCACAAATTGCCCAGATAAATACCAGAGTTGGTAGTATAACAAAACCCCGTGGTTGATTGAACTTTGTAGCCTTTTGGTATTAGAAAAAGATTTCTTAATATGTGACGGACATTTATGCAGCAGGTTACCTGAAGAACTTGTGCACCTGTTTTCTCATGTAAACAATGGATCAAACCGCTAAATGATAATTCATTTCCCAGCAACAAAATAACTTGCTATCTTTTGGGGGGGGGGAATACTGGTGCCTAAAACCCGAGGCATTATTCTGAGAGAATATTTGGAGTTTGTCAAATGCACATTTAAGGCAGAGAAGAACAATCTGCAACCTTTCAGGTGCTGGATTTAACCATAAAACATAGTCTAGAGGCTGACTCATACCCTGCAATATTCGTGCAGTTCGTTTTTAATTTAGGTAGTCTAACTAGAATGTGAAGGCCACTTTTTTTTTCCAATCCAGAAGCTGTGTTTTATTCATTTATTTCCTGGCCTGCTGGGGCAATGATGAGATTTGCTGCTAAAAATGGACAGGATTCTGCTTCATTTTGGTGGTTTGGTCATGGCACACACTGTAAGTGGGGGAGGGGTGGGCTACAAAAATGAGTCATCCAGTCTCCTGATCCCTAAATTAGAATTCACATTGCATCTTAAAATAATCCAAGAAGTTTGCCACACTGAAATAAGAGGGACTTAATTGCAAATAAGTACCCTAGAGATAAAGATGTATGTACATTTTTAGAATACTTCTTGTTTTGATTCTCCTTTACATCCAGAAAATATATTATTTGCAGCACCCTTAAGAGTCAATAGACTTCACAGGACTGTTTTCCCTTCCCTGTAAAGATATAGAAAGACTTTCCAGACAACTCATTTACTGTACATTTTTCCTCTTTCATTCCATCCTTGCAGTCCTGATTATAACCTAAGTATTCAGCCTTCAAGAAATGAAATCCTTTTTAAAAAAAATAAAAAAAGCAGGTGACCAAAGGTGTTGTTTTACTTAGTACTTGCTGCTTGTTGATATCAAATGTCCTCTTGGGAACTGGAGAAACAGGAGCTGTCTTCAAGTTGATAGAGGGCAGCCCTCTGATAGAGGTACCGTTTACTCCAAATCCCTTTTTAGACACGGTCACATGGAATCACATGATGCAAAATAGTGCAGTACTATCCTTTCTTGATCTTTCTGAACTGTGTACAAGTTTATCTTCATGGGAAAGAGACCCCCAACTCTTGGACCTGGGCCAGCCTTTGCCTTTGACCACTCCCTCAGGCCACATCAGGGACACTGGTGGGGGGGGGAAGGCATCCAGTATGCTCTTACTCTCTGTTGAAAATGACCATACATCATGGCTGCACAATCCTTTTTCAGGAGGAAAGTGTTTTTAGTCTTTGGGTAGTGTACCTGGGGCTTCACTCCTAAAAGGAGACAGGACAAAATAATGTTTGATATCAATTTTAAATTACATTTTAAATGAAGTGTGGTTTATATGATTACTTCTATGTAGATAACAATTTTCCTTGCTTTTTCACTAAAAATTACTGTTCAGGGACATGCTTGAGAAGTGTTTAGGGACTTTTCAAAGGATTTAGAATGCATGGGGCTGGTGACTGTGCACCCTGTAAGAAATGGTAGATTCATGTGAAAAGGAGAAAAAGACCAAAGAAAGTTTAGCAAAAAAAAAAAAAACCCCACAAGTTTACTCCATAACTAATCCTTTCATTGTAATGGTAAGTTATTCTGGGGAAAACAATTAGGGGCATTTTGTGTCTGCCTCTATGTATTTTCCCAAAGATACTTTTTTTCCCAAAGGCAACTGTCCTTTGTTTTTTCCTGAAGACGTTTCGCTTCTCATCTTCTTCAGAACTGAAATAAAATAAAGTTCAGTGCCTTTTGAAAAAAGCATCTTTGGGACAACCATGACCCGGATGACTGGAAATCTCCATATATGTCTCTGTGTGTTTGTTTTAGATACAGTCAGTCAACAAGCATAGGATGGGATGTTACATGCTTTCTCCTACCATGTATTGTGTCACTGGCTAATTTCAATACATTCCAGCAAGATACCACACATCTTACAAGCATCATGGTTTCCTTTCAATGGGCTCCTTAAAAACACTTTCTGCTGTGTCCCCCACCTTTATTTTATATTTTTTATTTATTTTAAACTTTGTTGTCTTCAGTGTTGACTCCTGGCAACTGCTTGGACTAGTCTTTGCAGTTTTTGGCAAGATTTCAGAAGTGTTTGCTTCCTAAGACAGAGAAAGAAGACTAGCCCCAAATTATCTAACTACCTGCCTAAGGCAAGACTAGAACTCACAGACTCCCAGTTTCTAGCCTGATTGCCTTAATTACTACTACCGTATATGCCAGACTGGCTCCCATTAAGAGAACAGAAACAATTAGACCAGCAGAGGTCAGTAAAGGCCTACAATATACAGATGACCATGCTATCTACTATCTTACAGAAAATCTAAATAGGATAGTGCAGTGATGGCGAACCTTTTAGAGACTGAGTGCCCAAACTGCAACCCAAAACCCACTTATTTATCGCAAAGTGCCAGGGCTGCATCAGCATTGTGGTGCCCTCAGGTGGGGTGGCGGGCGTGGCCCACTGGGTGGGCATGGCTGCAGTGGTCACAGCAGACTGGGTGAGCGTGGCCAGGGCCAGTCCCTCACCATCTCCGGGGCATCCCCGGGGGGCCAACGCCTCTTGTTCGCTCACTTCCTACCGTGTCACTTCCAAACGCCATGTGCTCGCAACTCTGGTAAACTCTGCTGGGGCAATGCCGCGTGTGCCCACAGAGAGGGCTCTGAGTGCCGCTTATGGCACCCATGCCATAGGTTCGCCACCACTGGGATAGTGACATGTCCTGCTTTAGAGAGTACAGTCTTCTACTTTTAGGCACCTCAGTCAAGGGCTGCCAACTCAAGTCCTCAAAAGTCACAGGAACAGAATCTTGGAATACTGAACATTTGGACAGCAGCATTTTTCATGTAAACATTCCCTGTTCAGGAAAAGAGCATGTTTTATTTCTGCCTAGCAAACAGCATGGGAGCTTTGGAAGAATAAATAGAATATCTTATTTGACTGTAGATGGCAGCACCAGGCTGACTTTGTTTCAGTTGGAAGCTAATCCGGTTGAGATGAAAGACCTGGAGAGAATAACAGGGCTGTAGAATTTACCATCTTGGTTTTATTTACAGATGTGGGCAAGTAGTCACCCACTTTTGAATGATCAAATGGTTTGTATAAAGTTGGAGTACCAGCACTTGTCCTTTGTCTTTTCTTTCTTTTCTTCATATGTCCTTATTTTATCAAAGAAAGTTCTTTGGCCCTTGTTTCAGCTATGGGATTTTCTCAAATTCAAAAGAGTAAACAAGAGAAATTGATAAGGGAGTAAAATAAAATATTGACTAACATTCATTAAGGAACTGCTATTTAATCTTAATCTTGGTCCTCCCCTCTAGGTCACTAGGGATGCACACTAATCTAGGGAGTGGAGAAAAGCACATCCTGGAAGAAGACAGTGGCAAACTATTTCGGCACTGCTCTTAAGAAAACAACATAGATTTATCCATAAAATGACCAGGAGTTCATTGATTATATGCCAATATGTTGTTTTTGGCTCCTAGCAACCACCAGGAGCTAAGCTTGATTTAAATGGTAATACTGTTATATTTGGGGAATGCACACAGACTAATTTAGTCTTGCACGTATTCAGTTTTAAATCTTTGGATTTTTTTAATCATTCTCCACAAAAACTTTGCAAAATCCAAAGTAGTTTCCAATCCACATAGCACTGAGAAGTGAGATAGATGTCTTTGTTTTAAAAATGCATAACATACAGAAATCTCTATCTGCCCCCCATCCTCCCCCTCTCAGTTGGCATTAAGAAGTAATATTTACAACCATATAGCTTAGTTAGAATTTCAGGAAGCATAAGCAATTTGCCTGTGCATTTCTTTTTAAAAACATATTAAGCAATTTTAGAATTGGAAGACATGACTCATATTTTGAGGATATTTATCACTGCAATACACCAAAAACTTTACATTCACATCTTCATTACTTTAAAGATAGATGTTTTAAGCTACTTGATCAGTAGCTTAAATTGTTCAGTGTAAGTTATGTTTTCTAAAAAAAGAGGATTTAACTTTATATTAAGTGTTCCATAAACTGTTCAGCCTAGAAAATTGACTGTTGAAAAAATGGTAATGGTATGTATAACTGTTCTGCAGTTATTCAATTGCCTCTGACTTTGTGATCTAATGCAAGGCTTTTCAACCTTTTCACCGACTATACCACTTTTAGGATATGGCAATATTCA